TACCAAGATGGCAGTTCAATGAAAAGTGCCGCTGAGGAAAACCAGTCCGAGTGGTGGGAGTGGAAATGCAATGGCAGCCCCCGGGATCATGCCAACAAACAAAAAGCCACTGTGATGAAATTAACAATGACACATTTAATAATTCTGTGAGCATCCATTTGTGAAGCTATTAATCTGACAATATAGTTAGAGAATTCTGACATAAGCAAAGTCCAATATAATCATATCGTCAATATAGCTTCTTATTTTCTTCTTTGTCAAATTGTCCTGTAAAAAGCATAGTTATAAGGAGTGGAAAAAGACATGAAGATGAATGGAATAGTTTTGTTATCATTTTTAACTAGAATAATTTTAGACTTACTTTCAGTTCCATTGCAAGTACTTGAATAGGAGCAAGCCAATTACTAAATTTCTAGTCGTAGCAGCCAGTCCAAAGTTTTTATGTGGCAACAGGCCTACCTTAAATTGCCTGGCATTTGCTCTCTGTTTCACATTGTTGGCTAGTAGCTCTCTATTAGGGAGTAGCATTTCAGCATTTCTTATCTATCTGGCAAAAAGCCTTCCTTTAAAAATAGACTGACAATGCTTCCCATTTCTCCTGCTGGAAACAGCTCTAAAGGAACTATCTGACTGATTCCAAGCAGCTGCATGTTGTTATTTGTTGTTGTTCAAATAACAACATGCATGGACCAGATCACGCCAGGCCTTCCGGTCTTCTGCCGTCTTCTGAAGTTGGCTCAATTTCATGTTCGTTGCATCTATGACACTGTCTAACCATCTCATCCTTTGCCGTCCCCGTCTTCTTTGACCTTCAATCTTTCCCAGCATCAGGGTCTTCTCCAGTGAGTGCTCCCTTCTCATTTGGTGGCCAAAGTATTTGAGCTTCGGTTTCATTATCTGGCCTTCCAGGGAACAGTCAGGGTTGATTTCTTTTAGGATTGGCTGATTTGATCTTCTTGCAGTCCAAGGGACTCTCAAGAGTCTTCTCCAGCACCATAAGTTCAAAGGAATCTATTCTTCAGCGCTCGGCCTTCCTTATAGTCCAACTCTCGCAGCCATACATGACTACTGGGAATACCATTGCTTTGACCATGCGGACTTTTGTTGGCAGGGTGATGTCTCTACTTTTTATCATGCTGTTTAGGTTCGCCATCGCTTTCCTCCCAAGGAGCAGGCGTCTTTTAATTTCATGGCTGCAGTCACAGTCTGCGGTGATCTGGGATCCCAGGAACGTGAAGTCTGTCACTACTTCCACGACTTCCCCTTCTATTTGCCAAGGAGTGATGGGGCCGGATGCCATGATCTTAGTTTTTTTGATGTTGAGCTTCAAGCCCACTTTTGCGCTCTCCTCTTTTACTCTGAGCAAGAGGCTCTTTAGATCCTTTTCACTTTCAGCCATTAGAGTGGTATCATCTGCATATCTGAGGTTGTTGATCTTTTCCCCAGCAATCTTAATTCCCGCTTGTGATTCATCCAGGCCAGCATTTCGCATGATGTACTCTGCATATATATTAAATAAGCAAGGTGACAGTATACATCCTTGTCGTACTCCTTTTCCTATGCTGAACCAATCAGTTGTTCCGTATCCGGTTCTAACTGTCGCTTCTTGGCCCTTATACAGGTTTCTCAAGAGACATGTGAGGTGGTCTGGTACTCCCATCTCTTTAAGGACCTGCCATAGTTTGTTGTGATCCACACAGTCAAAGGCTTTAGCATAGTCAATGAAGCAGAAGTAGATGTTTTTCTGGTACTCTCTTGCTTTCTCCATAATCCAGCGAATGTTGGCAATTTGATCTCTAGTTCCTCTACCTCTTCGAAACCCCGCTTGTACTTCTGGTAGTTCTCTATCCACGTACTGTTGAAGCCTAGCTTGTAGGATCTTGAGCATGACCTTGCTAGCGTGTGATATGAGTGCAATTGTGCGATAGTTTGAACATTCCTTGGCGTTGCCCTTCTTTGGGATTGGAATGTATACTGATCTTTTCCAATCCTGTGGCCACTGTTGCGTTTTCCAAATTTGCTGGCAAATGGAGTGCAGCACTTTAACAGCATCATCTTCTAAGACTTTGAATAGTTCAGCTGGAATACCATCACCTCCACTAGCTTTGTTGTTAGCAATGCTTTCTAAGGCCCATTTCACTTCACATTCCAGGATGTCTGGCTCAAGGTCAGTGATTATACCGTCGTGTTTGTCAAGGACATTGAGGTCTTTCTTGTATAGTTCTTCTGTGTATTCTTGCCATCTTTTCCTAATCTCTTCTGCTTCTGTTAGGTCCCTACCGTTTTTGTCCTTTATCATGGCCATCTTTGCATGGAACGCTCCCTTGATTTCTCCAATTTTCTTGAAGAGATCTCTAGTCCTTCCCATTCTATTGTTTTCCTCTATTACTTTGCACTGTTCATTCAGGAAGGCCTCCTTATCTCTCCTTGCTGTTCTCTGGAAATCTGCATTCAGTTGGGTAAATCTTTCCTTTTCACCTTTGCCTTTCGCTTTCCTTCTTTCCTCTGCTATTTGTAAAGTTTCATCAGACAGCCACTTTGCTTTCTTGCATTTCTTTTTCTTTGGGATGGTGGTGATTGCTGCCTCCTGTACAATGTGACGAACCTCTGTCCATCGTTCTTCAGGCACTCTGTCAAATCTAGACCATGTTGTTATACTTCTCTCTTAAAGGTGTATGACATTAACACTGCAAAGTAAACGCCTATATGATACATACACTTTTGATTTATACATATATACTTATATAGCTATATTGAGGATATGATTATGTTGGACTTTGCTTTGCTTATCTCAGAATTCTCTAACTATATTGTCAGATTAATAGCTTCACAAATGGATGCTCACAGAATTATTAAACGTGTCATTGTTAATTTTATCACAGTGTTTTTTTGTTTCTTGGGATGAATCTCCACAGTGTGACCCCTTCTCTGGCTTTTTTGACAAGCCCCTGGGAACAGGCAGGCCTGGGCCTTCGTCCCACCCCCACCTCGGGGGGGGGGAAGTGGTGCCTCCTCTTTGGAGCAGCACAAGCCCGCCGCCGTCCGGGGCAGAGGGGCAAGCGGTGGCTGCACAGTGGCTCTGTGTGAGGTAAGGGCCGAGCCCTGTGACACCAGTTCTAGAATGGAGGGAGCTCAGGGCAGGCCCAGCGCAGAGGCAGCGGCACTGGCCCGGCCCCACTGCTGCCATGGACGAGCACGGGAGGGGGGAAGCGTCCTCCACCTTCCTCCCACCTCCCTGTCGAGGTAACGCTTCTGTTCTCTTTGCCCCCGGTATTTTGCGCAGGACGGCAGCCCGGTGGGCAACTGCCCTCAAACATGCCGACAGGCGGCCACGTGCTGCTAAGAGCATCCGGGTCAGCAGAAAGTGGGGAGTCCTCGGTGTACAGGAAGTGCAGGATCAGGTCCTGTTTCAGCACCGGAAGTACCACGAGGCCTCTTCCCGGCACCAGATACCAGAAAGGCAGAGGAGCCCCAACTCACACCCGGACCGATCTGGGGAAAAGAACCTCCTTCCCTCCCTTCTTCTCGGGAGCTCAGGGTGGTGTCCATGGTTCTTCCCTCCCCACGGTATTCTCACAACAACCCTGTGAGGTAGGTCAGGTCGAGAGAGACCCAGTATGGTGTGGGGGCTGTAATATCCATCTAGGCTGAGCGAAACCTGTGTTTAAAACATTGCTCAGCTGGGTATGACTTTGAGCCAGTTGCTTCCTCTCGGCCCGGCCCACCTCACAGGGTTGTTGTGACCACAAAATGAGGGAAAGCGTCACATGACGCAGCCCGAAGCTCCTGGGAGGAACAGAGCATAAAAGTGAGAGGAAGAAGAGAAGAGTGTGGCACAAAGAGTGTGGACGGGTCCAAAGGTTATGTACCTTTTTATTTGCTGGGTCACTCCCCCACCCCAGAAGGCACCCTGTGGCTCCCTCATATGCTAATGTATTGAAAATAAAATGTAAAACACTTTGAAAGCCACAAAAAAAGGGCTAAGGCCGAAAAGGGCAGAGAGCCAAAATGCCCGCAGAAGAGATACTGTTGGGAGGGTCGCAGCGACCACGGGGGACTGAGGGTCTCAATGCTCCCTCTAAGCTGTGGAGTCTTGTCAGCAAAAATGCTGCTTTGTGAGCTCCTGGCATGAAAGTGGTGAGCGAGCCACTTGGCTGCTGGATACATGAGTTTGCTCTGGAGCCCTCCTTCCCGAGTGAGGACAAAAACGTGTGAGCCAGAGGCTCAACAACTATGAGCTAGCTCACACTCACTCAGCTTAGAGGGATGGAATCACTCCAGGTGGGATGGAAAGCTCTGCCTGGCACTCTGCCACCCTGGTTCACCCCTGGCCAGGAGCAGAGGCCTTTGCTTTCTCCTGGTTCTGGGCAGGCCGCTTCTAGCCCGAGTCCCTCCTTGTGAGTTGGCCTGTGGGCCTTGCCTCTCCTCCCGCATTTCGTGTGCCTCCAGGGCCGGCTCACCCACTAGGCGAACTAGGCATTCACCTAGAGCGCTGGGCCCTGGATGGGGTGCCGAACTGTGCCTCCCCCCCGCCAAAAGCCCGTGTGCTATTGCTGCTCCCAGCCACGTGGCATGGGGGGCGCGAAAGGGGAGCGCAAGGCCACCTTGCCTTCCCCCTCCGCCTGGGGTCGGCTTTTGTAAATCCAAATGTGGGGTGTTTTGGTTTGGGTGCCCGGAAACCTTGCCGCCGCCTCCTCGCTCGCCTAAAGGGGGAGAGAAGTAGGACTTCCTTCTCTCCAGGCTCTGCCTGGAGGTAGGCAACCCCATAATTGGGTGCGCGGGGGGGCACCAGAAGGTAGCCCCGCCTAGGGTGCAAAAAACCCTCAGGCCGGCCCTGTGTGCCTTAAAGGGGAAGGGCCCAGCATCTGCCACCTGCTAATCCTGGACTCCACCGGCAGGCTCTCTCTCCTACACCTCCTGCAAGCTCCTGAGGCGGGGTGAGAAAGTGGGAGCCTGTGGAATGCAGGTGACAGCTCCGGCTTGAGCAAGAGGTTTACTCAGCCAGGAGAGGCGTGGGCGAGGGAGGGCGACACCCGGCACTCTTGGCTCCCCTGAGAACGTGTCCCCCCCCCCGGCAGAGAGCTCAAGCTGGCACCCGGCGGCCCGCCCAGACTGTCCGCTGCTGCCCCCTCGGCTGGGGGGGTCTCTGCTCCGGGGCTGTTCAGGAGGAAGCCGCCAGCCGGGAGGGGGCCTCCCCCCCAGGGGAGCACCGCCCCGCTGCTTCCCGAGCCGGACCTCCAGCCGCCTTGCAGGGGGGTCTGCCTGTCTCCCGGCGCCCCCCACCAGGGGGTCCCGCGGGGGTCCTCCAGGAGGCCCCCCCACCTGGGTCCCGCTGGGCAGGCAGGCAGGGGCTGCCTGTGCCTCCCCCCGGCAGCGCCGCACCCTCTCGGCCAGCAGGTGAAGGACAACGCCAGCCCCAGGGGAGACCCCCCGCTGGCCCGGTGGTGGGGCTTCCTGCCCAGCGGCCTCGTCTGGATGTCGGCGCCACTCGACCCCGAGGGAGGGGCTTCGCCGCCGGCGCTCTGCCCGCCCCCCAACATCTGCATCCTGACGCTGGCCATGATGATCGCCGGCATCCCCACGGTGCCGGTGCCGGGCGTGCGCGAGGAGGACCTGATCCTGGCCGCCCGGGACTTCATGGCGGGGAGCCCGCGGCCTAGCCAAGTGGCCTCCCGGTGGCCTTTCCGGCAAGGGAGACCAGCAGCAGCAGCAGCGGAGGCCGGCGGCAGAAGCCTCTTCCTAGCCCAGCTGGAGAAGTGACAGGGAAGGGGAGGGGGGAGGGGGCTGTGCCCTCTGATGCGCAGGGCGGAAAAGGGACATAAAAGGGCTTTCCCAAACCACCCTCTCTCTCTGACTCGCTTCTTGACCGCATGGCCAGACGACGCTCCCCCGCCACCGGAGCCAGTCGCAGCCAGCGTGAAGGACCTCCGAAGAGCCCTGCTGCTGGGTCACACCCGCCTCCTGCCTCACACCGTGGCCCCGACCAGCCCCTCTGGAGGGCCAACAACAGCAGGGCAGAGAGGCCTTCCCCGGAGGTTGGCTCCTGGATTCAGAGGATTATGCCTCTGAACGTGGAGGTTCTCCGCAGTCAAGGCGAGTGACCACTGATAGAGTCATGGAAGAGAAGTCTCCCTCATCCCCTTTGAAAGCTGTTTATTTCCAGGGCCATCACATTGTGAATTGCACATTTTAATCACCCTCTGTGTAAAGTTGTATTTCCTTTGGTCCATCCTCAACCTACTGCCCAACAGTTTCATTGGGTGCCCTTCAGTGCTAGTATTTTGGGAGAGGGAGAAATAGTTCTCTTGGTCCACTCTCTCCGCCCCGCGCTTCACTTTATAAACCTCTGTTACGTCCCCCCTGAGTCATCTCTTTACTCAACTGAGGAGTCCCAGAGACTCCTCAGCCTTTCCTCACGGGGAAGGGGCTCCAATCCCCTCCTCTGCCACTTTCCCCAGCTCTGCAAAAGGTCCCTTGGGAGATACAGAGGCCAGAACTGTACACAGTATCCCAAATGAGGCCGATCCACAGGGAAACTACATCAGCCGTTTTATTCTCAATCTCTTTCCTAATCATCCTTAACACAGAGTTTGCCTTTTTCACCTCTGCAGGACCCTGGGTTGACACTGCCAATGGCAGGACCAGTTTGGTGTCGTGGTTAAGGGTGGGGACTCTAATCTGGGAGCACCGGGTTTGATTCCCCACTCCTCCACTTGCACCTGCTGGATGACCTTGGGCAAGCCATAGTTCCTTCAGAGCTGTTCTCTCAAGGACAGTTCTCGAGAGAGCTCTCTCAGCCCTACCCTCCACTTGCACCTTCTGATGTGACCTTGGGTCAGTCACAAGCTCTGGCACACCTGTCCTTGAAAAAGAGCAGTTTCTGTCAGAGTTCTCTCAGCCCCACCCACCTCACAGGGTGTCTGTTGTGGGGAGGGGAAGGGAAAGGAGTTTGTAAGCCACTCTGAGACTCTGAGTGAAGGGCAGGGTATAAATCCAACCTCCTCCTCCTCCTCTTCTTCTATCCACTACAACCCCCAGATCCCCCCCCCCCACCCAGTCTCAGCAAGTTCAGACCCCATCAGCCTAGACTTGAGGCTGGGCATGTTTTGTCCCAATGTGCATCACCTGACACTTACACTTAGCACTGCTTACCCCTCCCCGTCAGGAGAGCCCAGGCAAGGGGGGGCCTGTCACAGTCCGGTGTTTGGGACTGAATGGAAGGTGCGCCTCCCCTTCCAATCACACCCACGCGTACACACAAAGCTGCCTTCTCTTGACTTGGGCCATGAGCCCAGCAAGGTCGGTATTGTCTGCTCAGACTGACAGCAGCTCTCCGGGTCTTTCATGCCACCTGCTACCTGAGCCTTTCAGGAGATGCTGAGGACTGAACCAAGCGGATGCTCTATCACGGAGCCACAGCCCCACCCCCGATGCCCTCCCCCCATCTCTGCCCGTGTTTGTTAAGGCCGCAGGAGGTCTCCTCGAGTACAGAGGGGCTTTGTCCTGGGGTGGCCTTTCTCCCAGCTTCTGCCCGACACACCAACTGATCGCTCCTGTGACCCGGAAATTGGCTGCCTGCCTGGGAAAGGCGACTCGGAACCTGTTAAACTGCTCCCACTTGACCGGTTTGCAGAGATGCTCCACCCACTTCCATAACTGGAACGTGGGTGATAATTGAGAGATCAAGAATTGACAGACGGGAAAGATCCGTTTATTAGCGACCTTGAGTTTCAGCAGAGACAGGGCTGCCCCTGTGGGCCCCAGAGGATCTCCATCCACAACAACAGGGGTGGGATGGGGGGAGAGGAGGAAAGGGGGCAGAGAAGCACCAAGCCACCCTCTCCCCAAGAACTCTGTTGGTGCAATCGCCTCTGGGGATCCCCAAGGGGGCGGGATTTGAGACGGCCTGAATATGCAGATCCCGGCTCCCATCAGGCATCCCTTGGGCCTCTCCTGGAGGGCTCCCGGTTTCCGAGAGAGCAAGTGAATGCAGGTGTGTTCTCGGCCCCTCACAAAAAGGGGGAAGAGCCCCACCGGCAATTTACCGGCGCCCAGCGTTTCTGGGGAGAGTCACGTCCGGGCAACGGTCCCTAGGCAGCAAGGGGCCTGGTCACAACTTCACCTGCACGTAAGGCCCAATCCAGCTGTCCGCCAGCTCCCGCAGAGTGCTGTACCGACGGTCAAACTCCTCGCTGCTACACTGGCTCAGCAGCCGGCTGATCTCCTCGGTCAGGAACGAGACGGCCAGGTACTTATCCAAAGAGGCGTCCCACGAACTCCTCAGGACTTCCAGGAGATCCTCGGTGCTTCCCTGCCCCGGCTGGGCGGCGCTGCGCCCTTTGCGCCACTGCTCGGGGACCCTCTCCGGCTCCAGCTCCTTCCCCTCGGAGTTCAGGACCGCCACGCCGTGCCTGCAGGGCAGCCGGAAGGTCCGGCTGAAGTGGCAGGTGCAGCTGTTGAGGCCCCTGTGGCTCACCATCTGAGCGTCTTCCAGGATCTGTATGCTGATGGTGTCGGCGCTGCTCCCCATCAAACACTGAGAACTCTGGACCACAGCAAGTTCATTCAGGCAGAGCCTGGCGGCGGGCTCTGTGAAGATGTCGCTCAGGGACTGGCGGAGAGACTCAGAGGTTTCTTCGTCCGGGATCATCGCCTCCGGCTCGCACACGGCGTCTCTGGTAGAAGCCTCCTGCCTTGCCACCAGGGAACTCTGGGGGGCTGCCTCAGCGGGGTCCCGAGGGAGCAGAGGCCTCGGGGCGTTTGGAGGAGGGGGGGTGAGAACCACCAGGTTTGGCAGGGATGAGACGTTCTGGCTGACCAGGGCGGCCTGGCCTGGCACGGCCTCCCAGGAGCACTTCAGAGCCTTCTTCTGGTAGTGCTTGGCGATGTTGGTGATGCAGGACTCCAGGGAGGCGCCCACGCAAAAGATTTGGCTTAAACTGCGCGTGACCATCTCCAGGTCTTTGAAATACTGGCTGCACTCCTCCCAGGTGCGCCAGCGGTGCAGGGACCAGATCTTTTCGTTGAGCAGCCAGTTGGTGTGCAGCTGGGGCAGCAGATTCGGTTTCACAAAGTCACTCAAGATGGCGTGCATCTTCTTCAGGTTGCTTTCGCTGGGAGCGCACATGGCATTCCTCAGGACACTCAGGAGCAGTCGCCTGGTGTGGAACTCCAGGCAGATGTGGCGGATCTTCTGCTGCAAATGTTTGCAGATGTGGAAGACGGACAGCTGGACGTCCGCAGAGGGGAACGCTTTAGAAAGCTTCGTCAGCAGCCGGGAGCATGGATCGATCAGGAACGTCTTGATCTGCTTCCACTCGGGGTTGAATGCCTTGAAGGTGCGGTACATGTGAGCCAGGCCTTGTGCCGATTCTTTGGCTGGGACGGCAAAGTGGACGACTTTGGTTATCTCTCCCTCAAGCTTCAGGAAGGGCTTGTCCACCATGAACACGTAGAGAGCCTTGCCCCAAGGGTTGTGGATTCGGTGAACAAGCACCACCTCCGGGTTGTTTAAGAAGACCTCCCTCATCAGCATGGTCTGGAAGCTGATGGACTCGAGGTGGGAGTACTTGTCCAGCTGATAAGCGACCAGCGAGCCACAGTCCATGCTCAGCAGCTCCTTCACAGTGTCCAGGGCCATGGTGTGCCAGGACTCTGTGCCTTTGTGCCGTGAACCACTGCTTCGGAAAGTCCTTCCCCGTTGATGCCAGCTGGCTAAAGAGTTTGTGTTTCTGCCGCTAGTCTCACATTATTATTGATGCCGGTTATTTCAGGCTGAAGGGCCTAGAGGGGCAGAAACATGACTTCAGACACACCAGGCTATTTATGCAAAAAGCCATCTAGTTCATAAACCAACTTGTCCCACAAAGCACAGTTTTGAGAACCTGTGACCCCTTGTGACAGATGTGTGTTTTAAAGGCAACGGAAAAACGTAACAGAAGAGAAGGCAGCATGGTAGAAGAGGAAGAGATTGGATTTATACCCCATGGCCCTTCACTACCCGAGGGAGTATCAGAGCGGCTGACAAACTCCTTTCCCTTCCCCTCCCCACAACAGACACCCTGTGAGGTACAGCCTGAACTCATCAGATCTCGAAAGCTAAGCAGGGCTGGGACTTGTGAGGGAGACCACCAAGGAAGGCTCTGCAGAGGAAGGCGGGGGCAAACCGCCTTCTGCTTAATCGCTTGCCTTGAAAGCCCTTTGCTGGGGTCACCATAAATCAGCAGCAACTTGACAGCGCATAAGAACACAAGAAGAGCTTGCTGGATCAGATCAGTGGTCCAGCGTACTGTCTGCCCAGCAATTTGACTGGGTGCCCCAATATGGGGGGGAGGGGGTGGAAGAGGGAGAGAGAAAAGCTCCTTCTATCTACTTTCTTCACCCCATGCATGGTTTTATAAACCTCTATCACGTCCCTCCCCCGCCCTTAGCCAAGCCATCTTTTTTCTCGACTGACAATTCCCAGCCACTTCGGCTCCTCCTCATAGAAAAGGTGCCTCAAGCCCTTAACCCTTTTGGTTGCCCTCATCTGTGCTTCTCCCACCGGCGCATTGCAACAGCTATGCAGCTATGCTTTGAATGATTCCGCCTACGAGTGTGCCATGAAATATCAGGAGGGAGAGGCCTATTGGGGTTGCCAACCTCCAGGTGGTTATGCAAAAGTATACAGCACTGTGTACAACAGATGTATGTTCCGGGTAAATCAATGTTGTGCTTTTAATTTTTTTATTTTTCTATATCATTATATAAATATTGGTATCAAATACAATCAAAAATAGGTTTCACCCAAACTTTGATGTTTTGTTTGGGTGAAACCTGTTTTTGATAATATTTGATGCCAATATTTATATGTTGTTGTTGTTGTTACATCGCAGTCAAGTCCGACTCTTCGCGACCCCATGGACCACATCACGCCAGGCCCTCCTGCCTTTCATCATGCTCCGGAGTTGGCTTAATTTCATGTTCATTGCATCGATAACACTATTTATATAATAACAATATCAATAACAATATTTATATAATAACACAGAAAAATAGGCAAAAAATATAAAAAGCACAACATTGATTTACCTTGAACATACATCTCTTATACACAGTGCTATATACTTTTGCATATCTTCCTAACACTGTGAGACCCTCAGGTTTTGCAGGAGTCATTTCCTTCAGGAACGCACAGGAGCGGAGCTCCAACAGTAAAGAGCCCAGGGGGCGAGCGCATGCAACAAGCCCCTGCTACCAGCAGCCCTCAGTCAGAGCAAGAAGCAGCCAGGTAAGCTGCAGAGCACCCCCCCCTAAAAAAAACCCCAACAACAGTCCAGTGGCACCTTTAAGACCAGGTTTTATTCAGGTACAAGCTCTCCCTCCTCTGCCAGGGCAGATCTGCACGTTCCCCCCCACCCCCAGTAGCTAGCAATCCAAAACAGTCCAGTGGCACCTTTAAGACCAAGTTTTATTCAGGTACAAGCTCTCCCTCCTCTGTGAGGACAGATCTGCACGTTCCCCCCCCACCCCAATAGCTAGCAATCCCAAACAGTCCAGTGGAGCCTGAGTGGTGGGTGTTGCCTTCTGACACACTTCCAGCGACGTCAGGGGGTGTGGCATATGCAAATGAGTCGTGCTAATGAGCTCCTGCACCTCTTTTTCTACGAAATGACCCCTGAGTGTTTATAGTAACCTCCAGGTGGTGGCGGGAGACCTCCTGTGATCCCCAGAAAGGGCCACTCTGGAAAGCGGATTCTGTGGCGTTGTACCCTCCCCGTCCCCCCGCCTCCACCTTCGGATCTCCAGGAATTTCCCACCCTGGAGCTGGCAACCTTACTCCCTGCCCGTGGGAAACCCGGCACAAGACTCCGGGGGCTCGCCCGGCCTGGCTGATGCAGGAAGACGCAGCTATCTCGACCC